AAGAGCGGCTGCAATGTTGCGGATTGTGGAGAAAAGAATCGGCTTGTTCGGTTTCAGTCTTTTCTCTCCAAGGAGTACATTATTAGTAGAATTTTCCGCAAGGATGGTCCAGCCCTGGGATTGGAGTTTGATCCTCCCCCTGCAAATGCTAGGCGTGGTCTTACTGGTATATTTTACTTCTTCATGTTAATTGAACCACTCACATATTTTTTCTTGTCGAAATGGAACAATGAAAATGAGTCTGGATTGATGAAACTGGTGCTAGTGCATCTATGTTACTTTAATTTGATGATATCACTCCGTGGGAGGGAATGGTTTTCATTCTGATGTTAATAATTGAGAAGGAGAAAGCAGATAGAGGGGTTTAACTTAGATAGAAGATGGGATTGGGATATGAGAATTGGGAGGAATGGAGTTAAGGGTGGAATAAAGGAATAGATAGATGGATATTGATTTTGATGACTAAAGACTGGAGTGAGGGAGCTGATAATTCAGTGCATGAAGCAGAGAGCGTGGGAGGAGATTAGTGGATTCATATAGGAACGAGGGATAATGGGATTTTAATTCTCATTGGTAGAGTATTGATAGAACTGTAAGTAATCCAAGCATAGTCAGTGTCCTGCATAATTGGATCGACATTTTTAGGACATAAGCACAACCATATGAATAGAACCTAATTACAAAAATGTTGTGTGGAATAACCATAGAAATATGAATCAAAGTAAGTGAAAAAATTGTCTTTTGTTGTCCCATGTCAGGTCCAGCCACCATGGCTTCAGGAAATTTTTTTCTACCTTTGAGCAACTGTGTTCTCACTCATTCATTAACCAGAGATATCTCATTTTTTGAATTAATGCTACAATGTACAACTCACATGGTCAAACATAAATGGAATTTCCAAACTGAACTGATGTAGGGCATCAATGATGCGGCAACAACCGCTTGATCCCCGACTTGGGCCGAACTAGTCCAGGTTTTGGAAGCATGGAAAGACCCTCCTAGCCTTAGGAATAGCCACCTAAGGTAGTGGGGCCACTCTGAGTTATCTTATTATTATATATTTATTCTCTTTGGTGATGTTATAGGGTTAGTTTTTGTGTGTGTTTGTTCGGGACAGCCGCCGAAGTTTTCTTCTAGAGCTGTATCAAATGTTTCAAGTGGTGTTCTGACTATATCTTGCTCCTAGGTGGTGATTTATCCTTTCTCTCCCCATCCTCTTCCCCCTCATCAGCCCCTTTGCCATCATCATCCAATGCTGCAATCGCCCTGGACAACAACTTTGTTGCCTTTCCTATTGTATAGCCGCCCAACCACATGAAGTGATTCAAAATTTATTTGTACTAATTGGTTTTTTTTTCTATTAAAAAAATTCTATTTTAATTTTATTTTAGCATTATAATACATATTATTAACCATTATTTGTTTTAAATCAACAAAAAAAGAAGCCAATTTGATTCATTAGTTTTGTGTTACCTTTCAATATGAAGTGCTAAAATCATTGATTTATACATAGGTTTTTCGTTTCGTGAATTACAAGGCATGTTCTTTTATGTTAATGTAGGTACTCTTAGGTTTACTTCATCTATTTAGGTGGTTTATTAGTAAGGGTTGAAAGAATAGGGTGGTATGCTAGTGATCATAAGAATACAGTGATGTACCATTTAATCTGAAATTTTGTAATAATACCGGTAAAGATCCATTTATAATTTGTAAGATACACTTTTTCATCATTATCTTCTTAGCCCATTGATTCTATATAATTGTTGTTTCAGTCTATTTGAGGATTTCTAATTATGCTTGATTTACAATATATTTGTTTTTGGAGGATGATGATCTTTTCCTAATTCATTTGTTTAATTTTAGATTTTGAAAGCTGTCATTGTTGCCAAGATGACGAGAGAGTCCACAAAAGGAGAAAGGTAATTCAAATTATGGTTGTATTTTCAAGGTCATTTGGCATATGTATAATGATACCATGTGTATTTATATTACTTTTTTCCTACGAAATTTCGAAGAACACTGGCACTTGTCGCAATGATGGACAAATTTGTAGCTATTTGTGGATAACATTTATATCTAAAGTAGAATCTTGTAGATTGTATCTTGTTGGCAATTGTAAATTACTCTTTTATAGCATTCTCAAGTGGATCTCGAGGGGAACTGCAGCATTCCTTCTGTTATTTGTGCCATGCTCTGTGAGCACATATAGTTGTCTTAAATTTTTTTTTTTCATTTTTTAACTCAAATGTGACCTAATGTTGATATGCCATTCAATGATTCAGTATTAATATTTAACTAATTTATGTCAACGGTGAAATTAATTTTGACCTGAATGCTGTGTTCCGCAAAAGGCTTTTTGTTACCTTTCTTATTGAGTGGTTTACAATGAATGCTCTAACTACAGGTCTTGAAGTCTTCTGCTGCTGCTATTAGGGGGATCCAATCAGGGAAAGTTCCCGAAAAGAAATATGGCATCGGAAAAGCTCTGATGACTGTATGGCGGGCAACTAATTCCTGCAATGGGGAGTTTCCAGCTGGGCCCAACTTCTTTGATGGAAAAGCCCACTCTTTGCCTTTCACGTCATCTAAGAAAACAATAAAAAAGGTGTCAAAAGAGTTACACCATCAACAGCATAATTGAATTTCTCTTTTGGGAATAAATGATTTACTTGGACCATTTATATGTTCTGTTGTTTACTTTCATTTTTCTTGTGCAGCAACAAGGCAAGTCAAAGAAAAATCTGCTCAAGAAACCACATAGAAGAACAAAGGTAAATTTACCTTTTCAAGATTAAAAATAAGAAACATTGGGAATGATAGTAGTTATCTTTGAAAGCAATTGGAGAGGAGCTGAAAATGGAGTTTGTATTTAGGTTGAAATGCTTGACATAAAATGAAAGATACATTCTGCTCAATCATCTATCAACTAGCCTTAATTACCAATGTATTGCAATTTCTATTTATGAAACATATACAAGGGAATGGACATGACACACCATGCCCTTTGAACTATGACTTAAGGGTAAAAACCACGACAAAACACATGGTCAACATGATTTTTTTAGTATTGTATAAATTATTAACAATAAACTATAAGTAAAACACTTGATATAAATGTTTTTTATAAAAGGAGCATGGTATCAAGAAGTCTAATATTATATATATCAGAAAAAAAATTTCATTTTTTATTTTGTTTTTTTTAAGTTGTTACTTGAAATGAATTATTTTTTGGTATTTTATAACTTGTTTAGTTAATTTTAAAAAGTAATTACAACAAATTTTGGATATTTTGAGTTTTTTTTTTCAAATAAGCTAAATTGGGTTTCAAAACAAAAAATAAAAACATGCAAAAAAAAACCAAACAAACATGCTTTTAAAATAAAAAAAACACAACAAAAAGCAAAAAAATAAATGTGATCCAAACAAGCTCTTAGGATGAACAAAGTAAAGATCAGTTTTGATTTAATTATAAATGTACTGACGAAAAGATAAAGCCTAAAAGGTATATAATTTAAAATAACCAAAATTATGAAGATATTGATGTATCATTGATAGTACTCAACACATCCGCCTGACAGTACGATTATCATTACCACAAACAACCTTGCCCTCTTTAATAGCGCCTTCAATAGCATTGAGAAAATGATGCATTTTCAAAGTTGGCTGATCGAGAAAAAACACAAATTTTCATCAATTCATGTCTTGACAGTGTTGGTGATTTTCAATGCCATGCACGACGCTATGCTTTAAAAAAAAACACTCACATCAAACATGATTGTTGGTCTGTTAGACATGTATCGAGGTTTGTTATGTCTAAAATGTCTCGTTTGAACACATGTTTTTGAAGGGGGCTGTTATTCGTAGGTTTTTTGTAACAGATCAGTATTGGAATGCTTTCTCATTTATTAGATTTATCTCAGGTGCTTAAAAACATGGATGCAAATCTTGAGAAACTTCATCATTTAGAATGCAAGCTTATGATTGATGAAACACATATTATGCATCAATCAAAGTCATCTATACCTTTGGTAGATGATGAAGAGCTTGAACTTATGAAGTTAGAGGAAGCTTCAACTCCATTTAGATGTTCCGAGCATCTTGGTTCAAGGGGAGGGCAAAGTTGCCCACTTTGCAAAGGTTTGTTATTTTATTCGTTAAAGCTGATTAGTATTTTGGGGGAGATGCTGAAATAATACTTTTCTTTCATCTAGACGTTTTAACCAGGTTTCCCCCTGCACTAGTAAAAATGAATCAGCCAATCACCGCGAAACCCTGGGATTTTTCTCCTGAACTTGTGAAAAAGTTCTTCAAGGTAAGCTCGGTTTTCCTTGCTGCGTAGTTTTGTTCAACAAATGATTCGGCTTTTATTTACTAAGGTCAACAAAGTTTTCCTCTTTATTTTGGTCTTCATATTCGCTAAATGTTTGCTTTATTTTTGTAGCAGCGGCGTCGTTATTTTTTTTTTTCTCACCTTTCCTTAAACTTTTAATGAATAAAGATTGTATAAGCGAATTGTATCAAATAAGCGGTTGTTTTTTTGCTCATGGTATTTTTTTCTTGAGCATCCTTCTCTTTGTTTTGGCTTTTGCATCAATTTATGCTTCTTCTCTCATGTTTTTTGGGAGTATCTCTTAATGCTTTAATTTAAATGAAAAAAACAAATATTTTTATTTGTAACGATCATATTTCATGATAGATTGTATTACTTCTATTTTATTATTCTGAATATTAGCATAAAAGTGTTGACTATAACATTTTAATTTTGTAAAGAAATCCAAAATAAAATATCTGCATCCTAAATTAATATTCTTTCTTATCTTGATTTTCTTTAATCCAATCTGAACATGTTAACCTGTTCGTTGACCTATTTGTTGTCTGCGATTTATAATTCTCAAAGGGACTATTGGAATACTGTATAGATATCAGTTAGCTGTAATCTGAAAAATCTGTTTAGGAAACTTCAAGTAAGTCCGCACTGTATTTTTGTGTTTTAAAACATAATCAATTCAACATAAAAAACACAGCAAACTAATTTATTACCAATGTTTCCTGATTTCTTAAATAAAATACAAAAACTCAAGACAACAAATACTCCTAAACAGGCTTAGAGCCATATTAATATATGCTAGTTGACTTAACTACAAAACGGCTTACTTCCTTGGCTCATGAGCACTGAGTTTTGCATCTTTTGAGTCTGATTTTCTTAAATGCGGCCAAAGGTTTTTCACTGTCTAGAAATGATATATTGAGCGAAAAGCATACTCTACCTCTAAATTGCAACGCTTTAATGAATCCTTTATTTTTCACAACTTGAGTTATTTGGTAATTTTTCTCTCAAGTTGTGCAAATTCTTGACCGGAATTTCTTTGATTATTCTTGACTTTTGGTTTGTCTGGTTGGGCTGCTGCTGTTGGTATAATTGACTGAAAAGATATTGTGGGAAACTAACTGCAAGTTGTTGCTGTAAGTGTGACAGCTATAATTGTTTGGTTGGACTTGTTATGCAAATGCTATTTATGAACAACAAATGACATTTCTTTTGTGATAAAACTGCTGTTAAACTGTCTTATTATCCCGAAGGATAAAAATGTTCTTATTTATTTTTTTGTTTAACTCAATAATAAATGGGTGACATTTTGTAAAAAAATATTAATTTAAATGTGTTTAAAACAAAAATTTTGATCCAATAAGCTTTTAAATTTTTGTAAATTATTATTAAATTTATCAATTTTATTTCATAAAATGAGGCTTAAGGGTATTTTGGGCTTTCACGAATCGTTTTTTAGAAGTCATTTTCTTGCAATTGTTTTATTTCCGTTTTTTGTGGATAATTTTCATGTAGTAAGTGACAAAAATATCCGAACTTGTATACGCCCGCGCTATTTTGACCGCCAATTTTTTTTTGGTAAAGCAGGAGATTTGCTTGATCATTATTGTTGAGTTGGTTTGTAATTATGTAGATTTTTTAAAAAAAATTCAATTAGGTTTATTAGTTTACCCTTTGTTGTATATTTCTTTCTGATAAGCTTGCTACTGTTGTTTGGAAATAAGAATTTTCCCACTTGCCAAATATATACTGATTTTTTTTATTTGCATTCGAGTGGTTTTCAGGAAAAAAAAATAAAAAAATTGTTTCTGTTGGCTTGAGTCCATGGATTATTCTGAATCATATTTGAGGAATTAGGAGACTAAGTTTGACACATTGCTGGGTTTAAAATGACTTCTATTAAATAGTTAATAGTCGAGAGACTTTATTGACCATTTGTTTTGGAATATTACATCAGGACTCCACAATTAAATCACGCCACACGTAGTGGAAAAAAAATCGGCCCAGTAACACAAGAGAATATTCCCCATGTTATTCAAGTGTTATTGTATATTATTCAAGTTTATTGTGTTATTATAACATTTATAACATCAAGAATATTCCCAGAACACAATAACACATGAATAACATACAATAACACCTGAATAATATGGGGGGAATATCCCTCGTGTTATTGTGTTCTGTGATTTCATTGGACTTCGCACGTAACTCTACGTGCGGAGTCCTGATGTAATATTTTTTCTTCATTTTGTGGTTATGATGTGAGAATTTTATAGTACTTGTATATATCTTATATATATGTTATATAATTTCAATTAGGCCAATTTTGTTGTATAGATTTTGAATATTGGATAGTAATTAGTCAGGTACATGTATAACTTGCGTATATTTTATGAAGTTTCAATTAGGCCAATTTTGTTGTATATATTTGAACATTGCCGTTGCCGGTCCCAAGCCCGGATGCGAAAAGTGGAGAAAAGTGAAGTGGAGGGTTGCGTTAGATAGTCGACAACCAGCGTAAAACTTGTCGAAAAAAATCATGACATGAATTATGACATTTTTAAGTTGATTTTAAAGATTAATTACTATCCAAATGTCTGAAATGAAAATGTTAAGGTGGGTGACTGTTGATGTTCGGTAGGATTTAAGAATGGCTTATGTTAGAGGTACGATTTGATTGATCTTTATTGAAAATATGATAGTTGAAAGTTAACATAAATAGTTTGGTCATATACAATGAAGGGTAAAAAACTGCTCCCATTAGACAATTAGATAAAGTTAATGTAATTGGTGATGCAACATTCTTGTGCTGCATCAGGGCAATTAAAGAGGGAAAATAGTCGATCTCAAGTAAAATAGGTTTAATACTTCAAGCAACTCTTAACATTAAAGAATGAAAAATGAATATTAAAAAAACTGATCCCAAGTTGGGTCTCTCCTCTTAGTATCTAAGATTTTACCTGATGATGAATTTATACATGCAATCTTTGCAAAAGGACAAAGAAACATAAAAATATCTATGATAAAAATTTAAGAAGAAATATAAAATAACTTATGAGGAATGGAGGCAAATTGATTTATCTCCATAAAGTTTTTGATTTTCTAACCTTTTAGTAGGACTGTTCTAATCCTATTCACATCACGGGCTATACAAGTGTCTTATGCACGTACATGTCAATCAGTAAAAGTGACCCATGCACGTCTTGAGATGGTATGTTCTTGAGAACGACAACATATTCATGTGAATGAAAGCTTTCTAAATGATAAAAGTAGCCACTATTTTGTTTCATGAGTCACAAAATTGTTTTGAAAAGGCAAGCAAGACACATCAACTCATCAAAATTAAATTTCCAACAAACATATTAAACACTCAAACTAACATCTTAGGTTGTTGTACAGACTAAGTCAATTTGAATTGTCCATTTTAGGGGAATATCTTGAAAAAAACAAATAACTTCTGAAGTTCACAACTCAAACTTTACACATACACATGTTCTGGGCAGGCCACTAGTTTGATCTTTCATAGCATGATTATTGGAACTAACAAGGTTTGTATTAAAAAATATATATCTTTTGACTCATATTTTTAGTGTTATATGACTAACTCATCATCGATATTGAAATAAATATTTTTTTAGCAATTTTCTTTTGTCAACTAATTATATATGATCTTTAAGACTTTTTTTCGAAGAATTTATTTCATAATAAAACTTGTGGTGCTGCTGTATATGTAAAATATTATAAAGACTTCGACCCACAAACTCCATCCACTGCATACAAACAAGTAGAGTTGACAATGTTTGAAAATAAAAAATGTAATTGTTTAAATATCTTATGATTGATATGATCACTCCATGTCATGGCTCGGCGGGGTACATCTTTTAGAATCAAAACTTTCAGATTGTAAATTCTTTTTCAAAATTAAATTCATCAATATATATCAATGTTTTCGAGAGCCGTTTGCCTTCCTTTTAGGAAAGGGTCATAAGTCCCATCATTTAGTGTTTGTTCCTTTGTATCCCTAGAATCAGAGTTGATAAGATTTCCATCTCTTTATGAACTATTGCAAAATAATCAAATGGGGTTCTTAAGTCAAGCAATTTTGCCCGTGAATGCTCAATTGTAAAATTTATTATTATTTTTTTTCAATTTACATACGACCTTTAAGATCTTGAACAAAAAAAATTAATTCATAAAAATGTTTTACTACGACATCATGCCTATAGATTGTCATAAATTTTTATATCTTGATCTACTTCTCTATGTTTGAAATAGGTTGATAAAATCTATGATGTGTTTAATTGTATGATAATCTTACATCATACATAAGTTATGTATTTAACCCTTCTCGGCCGTTTTAATTTTCTAGTTTTGAAAAAGAGATAATTTTGTAGATATGAAAATAGTTTAAATATAAATATGTGATTTTGATTTTTGAAAGTAATATTTTTAATTTGTTGAAAAGAGGTGAGACCAAACGAGTCTCACATATTGAATAGTTTGGATAACTGAGTGCAATACCACAAGTAACACACTTATCCCGAAAAATAAACATATCACTTGTAGTAGGATCAATCACCTAAACTAAAGAATTTGTGACATTTGTTTGGTTTGTGAAATATTTTATATGAGGCCAACACGTTCCCCTACCTAATATAAGGATTAAATAGAGTTTGTTTTTCTTGGGTTTCAAGTTCTATACTTAATTACATCTTAAATGACCGGGATCACTTAAGAAAACTCTCGATTAAGATTAGTGGTTCTGTCTTCAAGATTTCAAAGTTTAGGTTTCCACGAGTGAACATGAGAAAATCAAATGGGAGTGGCTTAAACAAGAACAATTATTTTTAAGGAATCCAAAGAAATGAAGAGCAGGGGATATCACAGATATGAGGAAAACTCCGGTGACCTCCCAACTATTCTATTGTTTGGCTTTATATTTTTGAAATAATGTTGTTCAATGTTTAATCCTGCAATTTATTTAG